TTATTATTTATTATAGTCACTCTTGCAGAAAATTGTTTATATTATTTCTCAGAGAATATACTGATGGGTAATATTTTGGAAGAGTTAAGAATTTTCATATATAAAAAAAACGTAATGAAGCCCTTTCAACCTGCCTGTGTTGAAGCCTGTGAAGCTTTGTGCCCTAAGGATTTAAGCTTTGTGACGAATTCCTCTTTCACTCTTTATTCTCCAGCAATCCCAACGACCTGGACACTCTCGCTAATGATTTCTGGAGTTCTGTGCCAGGGGTCGGCAGGGAAAGTGTTTCATTTGGAGCTTCATTTCATTTGTAATCTCTTCCCTCCTTAGAGCCCACAAAGCTGAGGTCTGCGGGTACTCGTGCAAAACACTGTCTTAGGTGTTTGACAGAGTAGGTGAGGCAAGGATGAATTGTTAACAAAATGTTAATGTTGCTTTTCTCCAAATGTGCACAGAAGAGCATCGGAGATGAGTACGTATTTAAAAGTAAATATATGAATAAATGTTGAGTAGAATTTATTTTGAAACTTCATCTGAGCACTGCGGTGCATACTGAATACAGTGGAGAAGGTTCTCATCCTGGCTAACGGTTGGGTAGGATGAAATTCTTCCCTCAACTATGCCAAGGTAAAATCCAAAACAAGATGTCCAGACTCCTGTTGGGAAAAAGAGTGTTATCACTCAGATGTATCCCGACAGATGTGCAGATAGAAAATGTCCAAGGATGTTCACTGCCATGTTGTTGGTTATAACAAAACCACTAGAAACAACCCAAGAGTCTAAAAATAGAGAACTGGTTGGAAAAACGGTACAGTTGTAGAACGAAATACTGTTGAGATGTTAGAAAGGATGACGTTCTGACAGCCATGGAGAGATATTAATGATGTGGGGTTAATTTAAAAGAATTAAAAAAGAAAGTTGAGGGTCAGACTCTATAATAGCATCCTATGCCACTTTTGAAAAAACAGTGTATGTGTATATGTAGATAGATGCATGTATGAATTATTGTATATCTGAAGGAAAAAGTCTGGAAGCACACATGTAGAGAGTTTAACAGTGTTATCTTCTCTATTAAAGAAGGATAAGGAGAGAGGAGACTTCTGGTTTTATTTTATAAAAATCTGCATTGTTTGATTTTTTTCACAACAAGCAGCTATTTTTAAAAAAAAAATATTTATTTTTGGTAGCAATATACACAACCAGTCATCCATCCATTCACAATTTCTGCATGAACAGTTCAATAACATTGGTTACATCCTTCACATTGTGTCACTGTTGTATCTCTGCCTGCATTGTTTCATCATCATTAATTTAGGCTCTCTGCCCCTTTAAGTTCTCATCTGTGCTTTAGAGTAACTGTTGTCAGTTTGAACTCATATAGATAATTCCTTATAAAAGCGTATGCTCAAGGCAAATATTATTAATTGGGCTAAACTGTTGTTTAGTTTAAGTCTGACTTCCCGGGATAGTTTCCATTCTAAGTTTAAGGATTGTTTCCAGCTGTTAGATTCGAGGTTCCCCTAGTCTCAATGGATCCAGTAAATCTGGTTTCCATATGAGTTTGAAGTGCTAGTCTATGCTTTTCCTCCTGTTGATCAGGATCCATCTATTGGGTCCTTGAACAAAACGTTCAGTAATGGTAGTCAAGCACCATCCATTTCTTCTGGTCTCATGGTAATGGAGGTAGTAGTTTATGGAGGCAATTAAACCTGCAGCCTGCAGTCTATTTCCTTCTCTGATTCCTGGGTCTCCTTCTTCCTCTGCTGTTCGAGGCGAATAGAGACAAATTATTGTATGTTGGGGTAAGCAGCTATTTCTTTAGGAATTAAAAAACAATAAAGATACATGATACGACATGGATGAACCTTGAAAACATCATGGTGAGTGAAATCACTCATGCACAAAAGGACAAATATTGTATGATTCCACCTATAGGAAATATCTAGAACAGCAAATGTATGCAGACCTAAGGTTATTAGTGATTGCCGAGAGGCAGGCAGGAGGAAGGGAGAAAAGGGGACTCACTGCTTAGGAGATACTGCACTTCTGTTAAGGTGATGGAAAAACTAGGAAATGGATAATGGTGATGGTTTCACAACAGGATGGACACAATTAATGTCACTAAACTGTACACATGAAGAATGTTGAAATGTCAAGTATTTTGTTACATACATATTTACCACACACACACACACACACACACACACACACACACACGCACGCACAGAAACAAACCAGCATGGAAAAAGGAGCAAACCCCATTTGTTCAGTGAGGTGATGATAATGTAGTATGCCATTTTAAAAAAAAAATGTGCATATATATATGTAGGTACATGTGTATGTGAATTATTGGATACGGGAAAGAAAAAGTCTAGAGGCACACACACTGGACATTTAACAGTTATTTTCACTATTAAAGAAGGATTTTGCAGCACCTACTTTGCCAGGGTGGTTAAGCACTGAGCTGCTAACTGAAAAGTCAGTGGTTTGAACCCACTAGCCGCTCTGTGGGAGAAAGATGTGGCAGTCTGCTTCCATAAAGATTACAGTCTTGGAAACCCCATGTGGCAGTTCTACCCTGTCCTACAGGGTTGCTCTGAGTCGGAATCGACTCAAGGCGATGGGTTATGGGTGCTTGGGATAGACTGAGCAAAACCAGGCCCAGCTGCTGCCTTGTGGAGACTCCGGGATGCGGAGTTCTAGGAACCTGGAGACAGAGACTGCCCCAGAGCTGTGTGGAGATGGTGGGCGGCCTCCTTCCCCACAGCTCAGGGGTCTGTAGGTGAAAGTGCAGCGCTCCTCTCTCAGGGACAGTTGGCCCACCTGTGTGCCTTGAGGAATCTGTACCACTCATGAACCAATAGATCAGGTTTCACAGTTTAATCAGTGGATTGCTTCTGATCTCAGACTCTGTTTTTAACAAGTGAATTGACCTTAAATAGACTGTTAATTTCCTAGGGATGCTGTAACTAATTACTACGCATAAGGTGGCCATGAGTTGACTTGATGGCAATGAAAAGTGGCTTAAGTCCTTGGGTGGTGCAAACAGTTAACGTGTTTGGCCACTAACCGAAAGGTTGGAGGTCTGAGTCCACCCAGAGGAACGTCGGAAGAAAGGTCTGGCGATCTACTTCCAAAAAATCAGCCACTGAAAACCCTATGGAGTACGGTTCTACTCTGACACACACGGGATCACCATGAATCAGATTCAACTTGACAACAACTGATTATGTGGCTTAAAATAAGAGAAATTTATTCTCTCACAGTTTTAGGGACTAGAAGTACAGATTCGGGGTGTGGGCAGGACCGTGCTGTCTCCGAAGACTGTAGTGGAACATCCTTCCTTGTCTCTTCCATCTTCTGGTAGCCCTGTGCTCCTTGGCTTGTGGCAGCATAACTCCAATGTCTGCATCCTTCACACGGCCATCTTCTCTCTGTGTCCATGTCTGCGTCTCTTCTCTTTTTGTAAGAACACCTCATGTGAATTTGACTAATTACATCTTCATAGAACCTCATTCCAAACAAGGTCGCATTTACAGGTACCGGGGTTTAGGACTTCAACATACCTTTTTTGGGGGAGAAACAGTTTAACCCATGGGATAATACAACCCCAAATCTTCTCTTGAGTTTTTCCACATTGAAAATTCTTCTCTGTTCATTCTTTGGTGGAGACTGATAAGAGTGAGTCTCTTGTTGCCTCTTGAAAGTTTTTAGTAGTATTTTTAATTTTGATGAAATGAAGAAAAGAAAAGAAAAATATTGAACTTGACAGTTTGTAGGCAGATAAAATTTTAATCTTAAATAAGCTGACCAAATCTCTTTAAAGTGTAAATAATACCTGTGCAATCTTATATGATCTTTTGCAATATAACTTCTAGAATAGTGCCTTGCACATAATAGAATGTAAACATTCATTGACTGAACTAGTAAATAAGGACAATGAGTATTGCGGACAAAATAAGATGTTAAAAAAAGGCTATAACATTTACATGATAGGGCCATATAACTTGCTGGTTTGGGCTTAAATGTTTATAGGTTGATAGATTAGTGGGAGGGTTATGCAAAAGGAAGCATTATATAGCTTAACGCGATTGAATAAACAGGTCTGCATCCATGGTAGTAAGTTAGTTATCAAGACAACTGGTTGCCAGTTCATCAGGAGGCAAGTGCAGTGGGGTGATTTTCAAAATTGAGTTCAAGGCCTGACTCAGCCACTTACCAGCTTTTGTGACCCTAGATGAGTTATTGACTTTTCCCAGCTTCAATCTCCTTATCTGAAAAGTAGAGAAGATAATATTAGTACCTACCTCATAAAATTACGCAAATTAAATGACACGATCTACATAAGACATTTAACTCAGTCTTTGGCATGTTGTAAGCCCTAGGAAGCACAGTTTGACTCTGACGCACGTACATGGGGTCACCATGAGTTGGAGTCGACTTGACAGCAGCTAGTACTGGTAAACCCTCAATAAAAGTCTACTCATCCTTTTTATTGTATGTAGACACCCGCAGGAACAAACTGGAGGCAAGAGATGACAAGCATCTCAAAATAAGGTTATTTTGCTCAACTTTTTAGGGCAGCACCTAGGAACTATTTCTGAGATAAAATACATTCTTCTTCAGAGAGCCCCAGAGGGAAACAAAAAAAAAAAAAAAAAAAATCTGTCTGGAAGTTTCAGTCAGCAGTCATGATTTGGTGGTGAGTTTCGTTGAGTAAATTACTCTCTGGAGATGCTTTCTCGGCTATATAAGGCACATCCGTTTTCCCAGGACACTAGATTGTCATTTAGTGCCAAAGAAAAAGCTATTTATGGAATGACACTGTGGCATCCCCAAAGGGCTTAATTTGCATCCCCAGAAGGTGGTATATCTCAAGGCACTGCAAGGCCAGCCTATCAATAACTCAGGTGGTTTAATTGGCTTTTCCCTCTTCTTTCTAAAGCCGCATCGATCCCATGGTAATTAATTTTATGTGCTCTGAATTGTGTTACTTACAGTGCCAAGAAACTCAAATGAATTCATATTAGAAATCGGTGGGAGGATATTTGAGAAGGCTATAAAGAGACTCTCCAGCGTTGATGGGCTTCACCAAATTAGCTCTGTTGTCCCCTTTCTGATGGATTCCAGCTGCTGTGGATACCATAAAGCATCCTACTACCTCACAGTCTTTTATGAAACTGGATTAAATGTACTCCAAGACCAGCTGCAGGTAGATATTTCATGCGTTCCGGGCACATCAGTCACCTGTGTTATATTTGCAGAGTAATGCTCTCTTGCGTCTGGTAGAACTAGTTTTGTTGCAGCTGCTTGCAGTGTTTGAAAATCTTTACACTCAAGACTGAAGTCCTGAGGCTGTGTTAGCTACAGAATCCCCTGCTTTCTGAGAGTCAAAAAGGCCATTTCACCCATTCCTGGACACAGACTTTGGTATATTGCATATTTGGTATACATTGGTCTATTTGTATATTGATATATTGCCTAAGGAACAGTTTAGGCAGGGCTTACCAGAATCCCAATCTTTCCAGAACAAGTAATTCTTGCAAATACTCTGGCTGTGTGACCATTGCCCCGGATTACTTGTTTAGCTAAGTGAAGCCACTTGAACTCCTAGTTAAGATATTTTCACATCCATCCTGGACCATCAAAATAAAAACCGTGCCAGAGGGTTTCCTTTTTGGTTTTGAATCTATGCAGCTTGCCTAACACTTGGAATCACATGTTCATAAGTACTATTAAATGTTCCTTGATCATGTTTAGTTTCAGATTTGCACACTTGATTCTTTATCATTAGTTGGAGGAGACTCAGACTGGGGTTTCCCCCACAGTATAGCTAGTTCGGAGTCCCTGAGTGGTGCCAATGGTTAAGTGCTTGACTACCAGCTGAAAGGTTGGTGGTTGAAACCCATTGAAAGGTGCCTGGCAATCTTCTTCCAAAAGGTCCCAGCCTTGAAAACACTATGGAGCACAGTTCTACTCTGCACACATGGGGTCACCATGAGGCAGAATCGTATCAGTTTTATGGCAACTAACAACAGCAATAACAATATGGATAGTTTAGACCTGCCCGGATGACTCTATGTTCCTTTTTAATGACTTGTTTGTAGATGTCTCTGGTTTATAGGTGCTCCTGATTGATGACACATTTTCCTGAATCCCTGAGGCAGTCCCCACAAAGGTGGAATAGTGTAGAAGATTCTAGCGCTGGCTCTGTTGCAGGTGGCTGTGTGACCTGGATGAATGACTTCACCTCTCTGGATCTCTGTTTCCTCAAATATGAAAGGATATTGTTGGACCAGTCAGTCTCCAGTGACCCTTGCAACACTAACATTCTGGGACTTTGAGGCTGGGACATGGGCCCACGATTCAGACCACGTGGCCATAGATGATATAGCTGGGGCAGAAAAAGGAACTTTGGAATAGTTGGCGAATACACAAAGGGATGTTGTAAGAGAAGTGAGAGGATGACCCCCATTTTCACCATGCACAGGGCAAAAGTTAGGGAATTTTAAGCTGTTAGATATTGTTGTTAGTTGTCATAGAATCAACTGTGACTTATGGCAACTCCATGTACAACAGAATGAAATGTTGCCCAGTACTGTGCGATCGTCATGATCATTGGTCTGCTCAAGTCCATTGTTGCGGCCACTGTGCATTTTGAGTGCCTTCTAACCTAGATGGATCATCTTCAGCACTGTATCAGACAATAGTCTGTTAGACCTTAGGAGGCACCAAATGCTAGGAATTTATAAACCATGAGAAGCTGGATTGGTTTCTTTTTGAACATTTATCTAAAAAAAGAAAAAAAAAAAAAAGGACAAGTCAACATGTTTCTGGGTTGGCGAGGCTTATGTATACAGACTGGACCAAATCTCATTTCAGTGTGGCGTAGTGGTTAAGAGCTGCTAACCAAAAGACTGGCAGTTCAAAGCCACCAGGTGCTCCTTGGAAACTCGATGGGGCAGTTCTACTCTGTCTTACAGGGTCGCTATGAGTCGGAATCGACTCGACGGCAGCGGGTTTGGTTTTTACGGGTTTTATCTACCATCTTATGAATTTTGGTCAATTTCTTCCTAACAGGGCATGTTGTATAGTTTGGTTGGAGGGCAGGGCAGCGAGAGGCTATCTTCAATGAATCTTGGGTACAAACACTACCAGGGCGTTGACAACTACCCCCTGGACTGGGAACTGTCCTATGCCTACTACAGCAACATTGCCATGAAGACGCCCCTTGACCAGCACACGCTACAGGGAGATCAGGTATGAGAGCAAAATGCGTGGAGATGGTTATGGGCCTGTTTACCAGGGCTTCCTAAACAATTTTGTGAAGTGTCTGCACCTGTAGTTGGTTTATTCCTTGGTTTTCAGAGGATGCACATAATCGAATGGAGAGAAAGGCTTTCTTGCACTCTCCAATTTTTATTTCCTGACAGTGTCCTTGGGCGGAACACAGGTACAGGTCTACATCCATACATGAAAAACCTTTGCTTGAGTGAAAGTTCTGGTATACGAAGGGTGGATTTGGACCTGAGCAGTTTTTGATTTTGCAAAAGATGTGCAGCAAAATCATAGACATCTTGTTTTGTTTTTAAGAGCCTATGAGGTGATGGGGTCCCGAGATGTTAGAGGGGATTGAGTGCAGTGGGGGAGGTAAACCAATGACTTCTCTCAGTATGTAATGATCAATCAGGGTCTATGATACACAGAAGCAAGCTCCATACCCAGCTATGTTTCCACTGCTCGGTGCCTTGAGAGACATCTGTCCCCATCACATGAACCTTGCTAACCTAGTGCTCCCAGATGGCCAACAGCACATGATGTTTGAAGATTCCACCCTATCTCAGATCAAGGAATGGACCAGAAGCACTAACTCCAGCCCTGAATTTTGCAAGCTCTCAAATCTTATTGACTCACTGGAGGTGTCAAAGAAATTGATGGCTCACATCTGCCAAAAAAGTTTATGTGTTATGTTAGATCAACCAATGGGTTGTTTCCAGACTTCTTTTGAGGACAGGGAATAATGAGGTATAACTAAGTTAGTCCCTGAGTGGTGCAACAGTTAATGCGCTTGGCTGCTAACCAAAAGGTTAGAGGTTTGAGTCCACCCAGAGGCGTCTCGGAAGAAAGACCTTGATCTACTTTGAAAACTCACCCATTAAAAACCTCATGGAGCACAGTTCTACTCTGACACACGTGGGATCATGAATTGGAATCAACTCCACGGCTGGTACTGGTAAAGGTGGTAATGTAAGAATAAAAGGAAAGCTGCCTCTGGATGATACAGATCTGCGTCCAATGGGAGGAGACAATGAGATGGTTGACTTATTGCAATGGATTTGTATATACCCTTTTTCTTCAGAAAGGAATTTAAGATACAGACAGTCCCTGATTTACAACGGGGCTTTGTTCTGACGGCTTCATTATAAATCGGTTCTGACGTAGGTTGAATACCTCATTTTTTTTTAGTTTTCATCATTATTGCCTTTTATTATCAGTATCTATAAATCATAACATCGAACATCTGTGAGTGAACATCTGAGAATGATAACACCACAAATTATGTGCTTCAACATTGTATGTAATACATATTATTAATGACAAGATGTAAAAAAAAAAAAAAAACAGGTGGCAGTAAGTGTGGTTCGTAGCAACTCGAATGCATCGAATGTGTTGTAAGTCAGGGACCATCTGTACTTTGATGATCATAGAGCTTGAGGCCATCAAGCTGAGAAGTGTCATAGTCTATACAAAGGGTTGGCAATTTTTTTCTGTGAGAGGGCAGACAGTAAATATTTTAGGCTTTGCAGGCTTATACAGTCTCTATAGCAACTGCTCAACTCTGCATAGGCAATATGTAAATGAATGGGGTGGCCGGAGGGAGGATGTTCGCAGCAATAAACAATGTGTAAATTAATGGGTGTGGTAGATTTAGCCCCCATCTATACCATAAACTCTTCATTTTCTTTGTGCTTGGAGAGCCGGGCTTGGGGTAGGCTTGGCTAGGTCAGGACTATTGAATCCTAGGTTGAGCAGCTAACTGGGAAGCAGGCCACTGTCACCCCTGCTCTGCTCCGAGTGCACTTAGAAGGCAACAGTGCAGAAAACTTGTGCTTTGATGATTGGGGATGGATGGTTTCTGGAAAGGAAAGCTACCATGGCCACTGTACAATTATGAAGTAAGTGACTCAGAGATATGTGCTGCCAGTGAACGTTAAATATGACTCAAGCTATAAAACATGAAAAGGCTGCCTATATCAGCATCTGAATTCCTTTAGAAAATAATGATTCCTTCTGAATAAACTTACATACCCTTACCATTTGTACATTTGTATTCTGTCGGCGTATGTAAGACGTGCAAAATTTGACCTCGGTTTGACAGGAATTAATTTATTAATTGATGAAGTTTTTTAAAAAAATCATGATCTTGAAAAAATACTCGTACAAAATCAAGCCACCAGATAATATTGCGGTTTTCTTGCTAATAAGCCTACATGTGTTAATAATGTCCTATGTATATTATAGTTTTAAGAAATCTCAGTCAGCATAAATTAGCAACGGGAAATGGTATGTTGCTAACAAGCTCCTTTTCTTTTGAAGATTTGGCATACGAAATGTTATGATTATGAAAGAAAATGTTTAATTGGTCAGAACCAGAGAAGATGAATAAAAAAGCTCCGTCTTGCAGCTGAGAAGCCGTATGATTAAGAATCACGGGTAGGAATTATACAGTTAGGAGAGTTGTGTCATAGCTCATTTTCTTAAGAATGTGTAATTAATGGCTTCTTGAGAATTTAAGCAGGTGTCATATGTTGATTTAAATGTCCTTTTGTTGAGAAATCTATTAATTCGCTGCAGCACGTAGCAAATGAGGAGATATGGAAAGCCAGACCTCTAATTAACAAACCAAGGATCGGGTAATAATGCCTTTCCTTGATTCTTGTTTCATTTTCTCTTTTATGTAACTTGTAGTTCGCGTCTTTTCATCTTCATTATTAGTAATCTCATTTCATGTCACTTCTTATGATGTAGTGAGACTTTGCTTCAGGTTCAGCAGAAAGAGGATGGCAAGTTTTTTTTAGCTTGCTTGTTTTTGTGGCTTAATCGAAAATGAGTTCCTCTCCCTCTGTTCACCCCTTAGATGTTGCTCTTCGTCAAGGTTTGTTCTCCAGCCTCTGTTCTTCTCTTTATACACCTTCTGGAAGGGGAGGCTGGGATCTCATCCATATCCCTGGTTTCAACTACCCTCCTCATAGTTCTTGCCTTCCATGCGGGAGACCCGGGTTCGATTCCTGGACAATGTACCTCTTGCACAGCTACCACCCCTCTGTCAGCGGAGGCTTGCGTGTTACTGTGATGCTGAATGGTTTCAGTGGCACTTCCAGACTAAGACAGACTAGGAAGAAATGTGTGGCGATCTACTTCCAAACATCAGCCAGTGAAAACCCTGTGGATGACGGCAGTCCCATCCACATCGATCATGTGAATGGCACAGGACTGGGCAGCATTTTTTAACAGATAGTCCCCGGGTTACAAACGTCTGACTTCCACGTTCCATACAACCAGTAGTTATGAACCAACCCCTTTAAGGCCTATTATATTAAAAATTCGAGGTACATAAAGAAGTTCATAATAACAAACGGGTGCTACTTTGCAATACATATCAAAACATTATTATTGTTATTGCTGTATTATTTTGTTAAAGATGTCTTAGTGTATCTGGAAGTGTTTCTTTAATGTTTTCTCTGCATACATGGGTACATTATATACTAAGACAAACATCTGACTACTTGACATTAGCCACTGTTCTGACTTACGTACAAATTCGACTTAAAAACAGACTTAGGAATGGAACTCGTTCATAATCCAGGGACTGCCTGTACTGTGCATGGGATGGCCATGAGTCGCAGGCTGACTTAATGGCAGCTAACAAGAAAAACCACATACTGATGGCACACAAACCTTTATCTCCGGCTGAGATTTCTTTTACAAACCCCACATCTGCAATCGTAACATACTGCAGACAGAACCGTCTCCTCCTCTCTGTTCCCCACAAACACCTCAACTTACGGCACCATCGTCCATACGGGAAAACGAGCAGTCATCTTCGATCCCCTCGTCATCCTATCGAAGGAGCCCTGGTGGCGCAGTGGTTAAGTGCTCAGCTGCCAACTGAAAGGTTGGTGGTTTGAACCCACCAGCTGTTCCGCAGGAGAAAGATGTAACAGTCTGCTTCTGTAAAGATTACAGCCTTGGAAACCCTATAGGGCAGTTCTATGCTGTCCTATAAGGTTACTATGAGTCAGAATTCGACTCCACGGCAGAGGGTTTTTATCATCCTATCAGGTAACAACCTCTAACAGCTCAACATGCCATTTTCTCTCTCCTCCCCATTGCCATCCCTGCTGTGACTGCCTAATTTTGTCCTTCATCATCTCTCTCCCAAACTGCTTTCACAGCCTCCCAGCTATCCCCAGTCTTTGTCCTTGTCCTTTCTTTTCTTCCTGAGGTCAAAGTGGACTGTCTACAGTACGTTAAAACCTGGCTGCACATCAATCACCTGCAGGCTTAGAGGATACCTCTGCCCAGGCACACTCCCAGAGTCTTGTTGAAGTGACGTGGGGTGGGGTCTGGACATATACTTTGTGTATATGTGTATGTAAGGAACCCTAGTGGTGCAACAGTTAAGCACTCGACTGCTAATTGAAAGGTCTGCAGTTCGAACACACCAGTGGCTCGCAGGAGAAAAAGACCTGGTGGTCTGCTCCCATAAAGATTACAGCCTAGGAAACCCTACGGGACAGTTCTACTCTGTCTTATAGAGTCACTATGAGTCGGAATCGACTCGACGGCGTACAACAACAACATAGGCATAAACGTACATTTTTCAAAAGCTCCTCAGATAATTGTAATGTGCAACCTGGGTTGAGAAGCGTTAACCCAGAAGAACTAAGCTCAGCTTGTGACGTGGCGTACAAGGTGTTCCCTGATCTGGTTTCTCGCTACCTCCTCATTCTCAACTCTTATGATCCCTGCCCTGGACTGCCCACTCCACAACACCAACTTTTGGCCACACCACTTCACACCTCCTGGCGTTGCTTGGTGTCCTCTGCCGGGGTTGCTTTCTCCATACCCACTCCCCTTTGCCTGCTCACTCCTTCTCCTACTTTAACACTTGACTCTGACATCACCTCCTCCTCCAGGAGGCCTTACTGAGGTACTCCTTTGCTGTGCTGTCACAACACATGGGCCCGTCTCTGTCC